TCCTGAAGCAGATGGGAACAGATACAGAATCCCAAAGCCAGGCATGCAGATGGAGAGAGAGAGAGAGAGAGAGAGAGAGAGAGAGAAAGAGAGAGAGACAGACAGACACAGAGAGAGAGACAGACAGACAGAGAGAGAAAGAGAGATAGAGACAGAGAGAGAGAGATATCTTGGAACACACAGGTCTAAACTTCATCACCTCTTTACCCTTAGAGCTTAGAAAAGGCAGAAGTAGGGAAGACAGATAACAGGAGAACATGCCCTCTAAAACAACTGAGCAAAGCACACACGAACTCAGTTATCAAAGGCTGACACAGGTCTATGGCAGGTCCCCTGAAAATATACAATATCTTTTATGTTTAGTATTTTTGGGGTACTCCTGAATCTATGAATGAGTGGGTCTCTGATTCTTGTGTCTGTTCTTGGAGCCCTTTTATTTTTCTGTTGATTTATATTGTCCAACTTCAATATGATGGGGTGTTTTATTGGTCTTATGCTAATATACTTTATTTTATTAAATTTATTGATATCTCCTAATAGTCTGTTTTTTTCTAATGAAAGACAGAAAGGGAATGGATCCAGATGGGATGAGACATGGGGAGAAACTGGAGTAGGTAGAGAGAGAGAAAGAAAACTGCATTCAGGTTACATAGTGTGCAAGAAAAGAATTTATATTTAATAAAAGGGAAAAATCTAGTACCTTTAATAACAATACATTTTTAACTAAGACATAAAGGAAATTTATATGTTAACAATATTTTTCATGCTTATTAAATTCTCTCTAACACTAATAATTAGTTTAGGGATTCTTTAGTGTTTTATTCTTTACAGAAATAAAATGTACAAATACTAAAAGCTCTATTTACTATTTTGATTGTTTAATTTTTTTCTTTTGAAAAAATGCAAATCAAAACAACTCTGAGATACCGTCTTACTCCTGCAGGAATGGCTAAAATTAGAAACACCAATGACAACTTATGCTGGAGAGAATGGGGAGAAAGAGGAATACTCCTCCACTGCTGGTGGGAGTCCAAACTTGTACAGCCAGTTTGAAGATCAGTATGGTGGTTCCACAGGAAAATGGGAATCAGTTTACCACAGGACCCAGCAATCCCCCTCTTAGGTATATGCCCACATGATCCACATCCATGCAACAAAGACATGTGCTCAACTATGTTCATAGCAGCATTATTTGTAACATCAAGAACCTGGAAGCAAACCTAGATGCCCCTCACTGAAGAATGGATAAAGAAGATATGGCACATTTACACAATGGAATACTACTCTGTGGAAAAAACAATGGAATCTTGAAATTTGCAGGCAAATGGATGGAACTTAAAGACACCATCCTGAATGAGGTAACCCAGTCACAAAAAGAGGAACATGGTATGTACTCACTCATATATGGATTTTAGACATAGAGCAAAGGATCACCAGCCTATAATTCACACTGCCAGAGAAATTAGGATACATGGAGGATTTTAAGAGATTCATACAAGGTCCCTCACAGAAGGGGAAAGGGACAAGATCTCCTGAGCATATTGGGAGTTGGGGGAGATACAGTGAGTGGAGAGGGAGCTAGGAGAAAGAGAAGGGGAGGGAAGGAAAGTACATGGGAATAGGAAGAATGAATCAGGGGAGGAATAAACTAGAGAAGACAGAGAGACAGAGAGAGAGAGAGAGAGAGAGAGAGAGAGAGAGAGACCATAAAATAGGGAGCTATTATTGGTTTGAAGAAAAAACTGACTCTAGAGAAATGTTCAGAGACCTACAAGACTGACCCCAACTAACAATTTGAGCAACAGTGGAAAGGCTACCATAAATGCCTTTCCCTAATAATGAGATTGATGACTATCGTATCCACCATCATAGAGCCCTCATCTAGTAGCTGATGGAAACAGAAGCAGATACCCACAACTAAACACTGAGATGAACTTGAATCCAGATGCAGAGAGGGAGAACAAGACCAGGGTACAGAAACCCACAGAGACAGCTGACCTGAACAAGGAGGAGCTAATGAACTCCCCCCAGACTGATAGCTGGGAATCCAGCATGGGACTGACTCAGACCTCCTGAAATGGGTCTCAGCTAGAAGGCCTAGGCAGTCTAAGGGTCCTAGGGCAGTGGAACCAGCATGTATCCCTGGTGCACAAAAGGACTTTGCTTGCACATTCCCCATGGAGGGATACTACCTTAACCTAGAGGCAGGAGGGAGGGCCTATTCCCTACTCCAAATGACTTGACAGATTTAGGTGACCCCTCCTGGAAGACATCACCCTACATGTGGAGTGGAGGTGGAGGGATGGGAGGGGAGGTTGGTCGGGAGGCATGGGAGGGTAAGAGGGAGGGAGGGAGAGGGAACTGGGATTGATATGTAAAAAATAAATAAATAAATAACACTTTAAAAAAAAGAAAATAAAGAAAATTTGTGCTTTCTCTAATATGATACTATTGAATAGAATCACAAGGGTAGAGATTTTATGTCCTTGGTTTTGAAGGAAATATTGTTAATGTTTTGATTTTGAGTCTGTGAAGGTATCTTGACTATTGAAATACTCCTATGTACATCTTCATTGTTACCAATGTCAATACCTTATTAATGAAAGTTAGATGTAAAATAAGTACATTTTTTTCTTTTCAGAATTATTACTTAATTTCTTTATCAAAAATGACAATTTCTCAATATGATACCAACATTAATGGTCATTCCTGGTGAAATCACCTCTGCATTCTTGACTATAATTCTCTTCGTTTATTTTACAGATTTATTTAATATTTTGTTCAGAAAATTTGCATGTAGGCTCTTGAGGAAAATGGCCTTTAAAAGTCCTGCCATGTTAGTTGTCAGTTTTTGCTTCTTTCCAACATTCCATTTTATCTTGCATTTTATGAAAAAATTCATATAAATCCAATGAGATCCGTATGGCCAATCCCTATGTCTGCTACTAAGAGATTGCAAAGATTCATTTATTGCCTACCTTATTTGAGTCAAACCTCCAGTTTTTTTCTCAATAATACAGTAGAATATATTGACATGTTCTGAAAAATATGATTCATTTGTAAGTACTATATTAACCTTTAAATGATAAATGCATCTCAAAATACAGGTTGGCATGTAAATATATATCAACTTTATTAAATGCTCATATTTACACATAATCTAATAATTATTATATTTCCATTGAATCTTTCAATTTTAGAATCTAAATGCTCTCAGACATTAAGTATTGACTTATTTTATTTTATTGATTCATTGTTTGAATTCATACTTTAGGGATTTTTGTGGTTCCATTTGTTTTGAAATAACATAAATTCTGTTCCTATCATTTCATTTCCTGGACATTGGTAGAGAGATAATAGTGACAACTTTTCAAACTATTTTCCTCTTGGGAACTTTTAAACTCCCAATTATCATCAAAATGCCAATATTATTCACATGTCAATGATGTTTATAGCACTAGACATTGAAGTAGGCATTAAAAATATTTACCAATTCTATTTGAACACTTTTACAGCATTTCTTAAAATGTCCATATGTTTTGAAAACCATATTATATCAAGTCATCTTACAAGAAAAGCTATGGAAGATGACTTGCTTTTCCTCGGGACAACCGTTGTCCCTCAGGGAGAAGACTTTCACATACATTCAAACAGTGTTTGAGGTTTGTTACTTATGGGATGAGGTTGTTAATATTATTTTCATTGTTTGATGTAGTTCAAGGTCATTCTAATGTGTAATGCCATCTTCATTCTGTCTGTATTTGCATGGGTGATAAACACAAGTTGATGGCTCTTGCTGAATTAATGCCAAAGCACACACCATTTCCTCACCCTTTTCTTGACCTCATGAAAACAAGTGGTAGTACCATAAAAACAGCACAATTTCAATGCCATTCTGAGAGGACCATAAAGACCCTCGTGAGTGTCTGATCAAAGTCTGATTATATTACTCTCAATACCGGGAGGACAGCTCACGATTACAGTCAACCCAGGCCTTATTTCTCAATGTCCCCCCCCACACACACAAAAAAAAAAAAGCATCAGGAAATCAAGTTAATTCAGCCACTGTTCCTTGAAACCTCAGCTAAAATATTGACTCAAGAGATTATCACCAAGCTTCCTACAAATCTTGGTACAAAGTTCAGGCTTTCTCTCTTGGCTTAAAATTTCCCTTCTTCTTCCAACTAGTACACCATCACCATCAAAGTTATAATTCTTAAATAATCCAAAATTTAATTGTTAATATATTTTAAATCTTACAAAATAAAGTGCCAAGAAATATAGATGTGAGTCTATAAATACAACTTCTTTCTGGTGGAGCGAAAGTACACTCTAATATTTGTTTTCTTCAGTAGCACGGGGTTACAATGTTTTGAAAATGGTGTCACATCACAATCCATAACACAGAACCATTTTCTCAAGTTTCCCAGAACAAAGTATAGGGGAGGAGGTGGGGAAAGGTCAAACTACACCCAGACCTGGCAATAGAGAAGGGTGATAACGGAAAGGGGTTCACGGTCTTTGCCAGGAAGAAACTTGTGATTTTGATGGGAAGCCCCTAGAGTCCATGCCAAGCACCACCTACCTTCCTAACTTGCATAAGCCTTCTAGTTATTCACTGTGATGCCCCTCCCTCAAATTCTGCTATAAATGCATGATCATCTCTGTCCCCGACAAACCACTCAAGATCTTTGCAAGACAGGTAAGTGAGTTGAAATATGATAAGAGTCTTGTAGGAGTCCATCTCTCAGAACTCAGGAAAAGGTATAGGAGAGCCCCTGTCCTCACGGAACAGAGGGCTCTGAGAATCAACAACAGTCTCCTGTGGAGTTTTCAGGAAAAGTGGGAAAAATGGGATCTTTTCATTTTAGAGCCAAAGGAGAGGACTGGAAAATTAGTGTATCTCCACAGAATTAGTCAAAGAAGAAGGGATATGATGGTCCTCTCAACATGTCCTCTCTTACCAAGTTTTCCACCATGACTCTGCCTGTTCCCTCCTCATAGACAAGATGCTGTGTAGAATGGCCCTCATCCAGATGTCCTGGATGCTGCTCTCCTGCCTGATGCTCTTCCCTCAGGTGCAAGGTATGGTTTCTCTGCCTCTAGAACTGAATTTGCTGTGAGTGTCCAGAGTCAAGGATCAGAAGAAGGCTATGGAATGTCTCATGTGGTAATGATGATGAGAATCCCTCACAGGAACACCAAGTGCAACTCATCATCATCCTGCTGTCACATGACAGATGGTATAATTGTAGCTCATCACTGAAATTAAAGAGGGTCCTCTTTCGCTATTAATTTCTAGTTGGTGAGTTTAAGAAGGAAATGGGGGCAGTCAATAATGAACTGCTGAGAAAGAGGAGTGGATGGGCCAATGTAGAGACTGTTAGCCTAGAATTGGGGATCTACGGATAATAGAAGAGTGAAGCATAAAACTTGCTTACAAATGGGTCAATTTCAAGACCAAGATGATAAAGAAAGGGTGACAGAGTCTGTATTGTGGATTCATCTCAAACAAAAGGCTTCGTAAACATCTGTTGAGTTGATCTTCCCATTTAATCCACACTCTTCGTTTCACTACACCCCTGTCTTTATCTCTTTCCACCCCAGGTGAAAATGTCAAGGAAAATGTGCCATCTTCACGAATCAGCTGCCCCAAGGGCTCCCAAGCCTATGGCTCCTACTGCTATGTTTTGTTTAGGATTCCTAAGTCATGGTTTGATGCAGATGTAAGTGCTTGGGTTTGCAAAGGAGGGAAACAGTGGAAAGTTTGTGGCAGTCAGAGAAGTGGGCTCAATTTCTCATGGTTCCTTGGGAATCACAGTGAACTGAATGTTCTGTCTTTCTTTCTAGCATGACATTTGCCCTCCACTCACAAGTGATGTCTTAGTATGTGACTAATTCTGCCCTTCCTTACCTAGTTGGCTTGCCAGAAGCGGCCCGCAGGACACCTTGCGTCTGTGCTCAGTGGATCTGAGGCTTCCTTTGTGTCCTCCATGGTTAAAAGCAGTGTGAACAGTGGCCAATATGTGTGGATTGGGCTCCATGACCCAACACTGGTGAGATGTCATCTCCTCCCATCTAATTTATCTCTCATTCATTTTGTTCCTGGGCTCACTCTGTGTTTCTAAGAGGAAATCCCCAATTATACATAAGCTCACACTCTGGATTGCAACTGGGGTAAAAGGAAATTCTTGAGCTCTGTTGAGGTCCCTAGTCTTCAGGTGATGTTCAATGATCGATGTCAGCTTTTAGAAAGATCCTAAGTGAGGCTTTGGAAATCTCTCTGCTGTGAGATTCAGGGTGTTTGTTCCCATGATTCTGAGGGAACATCAAAAGAGGATGATATCCATATTTGTTCTTCACAGAATCAATGTAGGCTTTGAGGTTCAGAGAAATTTACAAAAACACAACTTGGCTGTGTTCAACAAGGTCCATATTATTTTTTCTTGGTTTAAATAGGTTGTGAGTATCAGCAGAGATCTGATAATAGACGCGGGATGTTCAGGTTGAATCCTGGGTAGCATCTGAAAGACTAGATTGATTCCATGAGGTTAGATATAGGTATCAGCTATTCCCAGCAAGGGAATCATACACACAGAGCTTCAGGGAGCCTTCTTTTCCCATTGCTGCCTCCTCTCTAGGGACAAGAACCCAATGGAGGTGGATGGGAGTGGAGTAATGCTGATGTGATGAACTTCTTCAACTGGGACATTCCTCCTTCCAGTGCTTCAGGAGGTCACTGTGGTAGCCTGTCACGAAATTCAGGTAAGAAAGAGAGCAGCCCTCTTTCTTACCTGAGAGAGAACCAGTGCTTTTCCATTCTTCTTCTATTCTCGATCTCTTCTCTCATGCCCCCCCTCCCTTGTGTCTCCTCCTGTTGGAGTAGGACACTGGTGAAGAGGACAGAAAGACTTTGACATCCAGACAACCATCCTTTGTGCCCTTTCATTGAGTCTATGAAATGCCCCTGCCCCTTTTAATTGACTTCTTTTTTGTCTGCAGGATTTCTGAAGTGGAAAGATAATTATTGTGACATGGAGTTACCCTATGTCTGCAAGTTCAAAGCCTAAAATTTCAGAGTTAGCACCCTGAGTTTAGTATGCACCTCATCAAGATCAAGAACCCAAGTGTGAAGACGGATGCAAGAAAGGAACATCCTTCTGACTCCAAACCTGACCTTCTGTGATTTTCTCCTCTTCTGCTCTTTCCTCATTTCCATTTGAGGCTCTTTTGTGTGTACTGAGGCCTGAATTCTCAGAGTACAATAATAAATTATATGACTTATAGCAATATCTGCTTATGCTCTGTTCATTTAGTAAAGGAACAAAATGTATCAGTTAAACAAAAGAGTTAATGTTAAACTTTTAAAGAAGATCCAATTATGTTGGAAAGGGAGAAACATTCTCTTTAGTAGTTAAAGAAAAGAAATGTTTTCATGCTCCCACAAGCTATCCTTCATACCTCTGTAAGGAGTCACATGAACACACACACACACACACACACACACACACACACACACACACACACACACACCACAAGAACATGAAAGTAAAAGGAAGAAAATAGGAAAAGGGAAAGACATCAGTGATAGTGGGAAGGAGATGAAAAATGGAGGCTGCATACAATATATAAAGCAACCCTAGCTACAACGTAAGACCCAGTAAATAAAGAAAAAAATATTTTATTCAGTCGTATAATACACATTCTTCTCAAGTTCAACTGGAACAGTTACCAAGTTTATTAAAACTATGTGTAGATACATGGATAGTATTGATACAAAATTATATTTCTTGCAGTAAAGGCTTTTTGTGATTTCTGTTTTTTTTTATGCTGGGAATTGAACTTAGGACCTTGTGTATGCTAGAAGCTACTCTACCACCGAGCTACAGCATTCCCAGCCAAAAAGAAAACAAAAATCTTGCTTTGAATAGTAGTTAAATGTTTTAAGTACCACTCAAAATAGTAAAGAAACTTTGAGGTAACTATAGATGAATTAACTAAACTACCAGTAGAGGGAGAGTTAGGCTAACACACATTATAGTTCTGGGGACAAAAGGAAATTGTGTCTGCTGGAAGAAATCAAGGGGTTGGGGAATAGATATTAGGAAATTAAATATGTTTAATCTGTTTTTATTCCTTCTAAGATTGAGCTGTGGTTCATTTCACAGAACCAAGCTGAAAACCTTGCAAATGAACATGCACAGTTTGTAAAATAAAATGGGTCTCCAAACAGTGACCCTAGAGATAACTGGAAAATCAGGAATGTGTTGCAGCAAGTAATTTGAAATAATAAGTGAAAACCTAAAATTTGAATATCCTTATACCTTCCAAACCATACAATTTCCTAGAGAATCTGCCTCTCACCTCACCATTCAGAAATAGCTATGGTGCTGTTCATAGATCCTTTAAGAGGTACATGCCATAGATTCTCCCATAAAAGCATAAAAGTGAATTCTAGAGGCTCCCTCGGGCTTCTGAAACTTTGGGCCCTGCCTGTGACTGTAATAAACTGATGGAACGCTCAATGCAGAGAGGGGAACAAAGTTTCTCAGTGAAACTTGGGGAGGGCTCCCTCACTGGAATCAATCAAATTTCATTGGCTGTTGCTTACATGAAACTTTGTATTCATATATTGCTCTAAGTATGTGAGCTCGCTTGTAACTTTAGCTGCCATATTTTCTTGATTTCTACTACAGGTTTCTACAGAATCTTTGGAGCATATGAAGAGACTTTAGGTTTTGTTGTTTTGGTTTTGTAGCTGTTTCAAGTCAGCCTTGGTCGGTTTGTTCTAACCAAGAAAGCATAAACAAAGTGAGACCATGCCCTGTCTATGACGGAGGCACACGACTACCCATACCGGCCATTTTCACTCTCTTCTGTCTTGTGAAAGACGGTATTCATCTGAGGATCACCACATGAGGTTGTCTTTAGACCTTCACAAGTGTAGGTGAGGCATGACCCTCTCATGAATATACATGTACACATACACCTCCACACACTGTGTTGGTGCATTTGGGACTGGAAATATTATATTCAGCCTTCAGATAAAATTAAAGCCCACAGGAGCACGCTGAGCACAGCCCAGTAGATAATCTTGGCACTGGAGCTCAGTCAATCTATGTCAATTGTGAGAATAAGTTTTTGCCCCTACAAATAAAATAAGTACAATAGTTTTCTAATATGATATTGGGGAAATAATTGTCTTTTGACAGAAAGGATTCCATTTCAGAGAAAAATAATACAATCGGTGTGTTATCTATCCAAGTCAATGCAACAAGACCATTCTTTACCTTGAGTTAAATTACTGAATTAGAATCCACTGTTTTACTTGGATTGTATACTATATGTTGCAGTTAAGGATTGTCTCTTATTTTCCTTTTTCATGCAGAGATTTGTCTGTCTACCAATGGTTCATTTTGACTATGGTATTATGTCTTATCATTGTTTCTTGTTTACACAAAAAGATGTCATATTTGGTTTGGGGTGGTGCTGATGGTGGTGGTAATGGTGGTGGCCTCTGTGTGTGTGTGTGTGTGTGTGTGTGTGTGTGTGTTGGTAAAAGAGAAAAAATATATATGTAAGATGTTTACTCAAAAATTAAATAAAAAAGATGTGTTGTTCTAAAATGTTAGAAATATTCTTCACTTTGAGCTAGATGTGAACAGAGACTGTCCTGGATGCAGACAAGTACAGTTCAAGTCAGGACCTAGAGAAGGGGCACTTGCTGCTCAGACAGAAACTCTGGCCATGGTTTTCTGCACACACATCAGAAAGCTCACAACTGCCTGCGACTCCAGCTCCATGGGACCTGAGGCTCAATTCTGACCCCCTGATGGTACCTGCACACACATGGGGGACATGTTGAGAGCACATATATACACATGAAATAAAAAAGAGCAGGAGCAAATAAAGGAGGAAGGGAAGAAGGGAGGGAGGAAGGATGGTATATGCTGAGACGTGCTATGGATTTGTATGTTTTATACCCTGAGTCTCCTTTCAAGTGTGGTTAAGGCATGTGTTTTAACTAATTCCAACAACAGGAAATATGAGTTCAGTAAAACACCTGAAGCTTAACTTGCAAGAACAGTTTCCCTTCCTACTATGGCTTGATGATTCATGCCTAAAATCTCAGCACCAGGAAGCTAAAGCAGAGGGACCTCTGTTAACTTTGAGGCCAACCTGATGAACGTAATGAGATCCAGTCTAGTCGGGTCCCAAACACAAATCACACAGAACTCACCCATTTTGGGATCTTGACAGTCAAGAAGCAAAGACAAACTTCTCTCCTTCCGCAACTTCTCAATTTGCTTAATTTTTTGCTAGAGACACCCTTGGACTATTTTGTTTCTTTGGGTTGAGTCCCAGCTTTCTCTGCCTTAGGTAGCCATTCCACTTTGAGCTCCGGGCTTAAACAACATCCCCTTTGAGAATTTACCTTCTCTATCCTGTGATTATGCCCCTGCTGAATTCTTTTGGTAGTCAAACCTTCCTCTGACGCAATCTATTGTGCCTATTTGTAAGGAGGCAGAGGATGATGGGCATGGGCCAAATGGGTGGGGTTAACCTATGCATATGGGTTAATCTGCTGATTACAAGCAAGACCTGCTCAGAGAAGACATAAAATTTCACTAAAGCACAAAATAGCTTACCATGAAAACAACAAGAAGTGACAGAGCATATGCTTGTGATTTGCAAAAACTGCTAATTAAACACAATGTGCGCATGCTAGCAGCCTACTAAATGCACTGTGTCATCACTGAGATTCCTGGCATCCTCCACACCCCTCCGCCCCCATCAGCTGGCATAATCTGAGCTCTGCAGACCACATACCATCTGCTTTTCCATCCAGCAGTGCCAGCTCATCCTTGAGTAAACTCCAGGAAGGCGTACCAATACAGAGAAGCCAGAGATGTTTCTGAGGGGATCCCAGCCTCTCTTTTGATATCAGTATGAAGTGTGAACTGCTGGCACAATACATTCGCCAGCCTTAAGCTCACAGCTCCCAAAACCACAGAGCTCAGAATGAGCTAACTGTCCTCTGGAAGGGAAGCAGCAGAAACGGAAAGTGTTTCAAAGTCGACACCAGCTGTATACTGTTCCTTAGATCTGAAAGTTTCCATGTCCCACCACCAAGTTTCCGTGGTGTTTGGAAACCTCCAGATTCTCTCGGGTAGAAAACTGGGAGAGCTCAAGACCCCAGTCTGACAGCTGGGAAACCAGCATAGGACTGACCCAGACACCCTGAACATGGGTGTCAGTTAGGAGGACTGGGCCGTCTATGGGGCCTCTAGCAGTGGATCAATATTTATCCCTAGTGTACAAATGGACTTTGGGAGCCCAATCCACATAGAGGGATACTCTCTCAGCCTAGACACATGGGGGAGGGCCTAGGCCCTGCTCCAAATGACATGACAGACTTTGAAGATCCCCCATGGAAGGTCTCACCCTCCCTGGGGAGCAGAAAGGGGATGGAATGGGGGTTGGGAGGGTGACATGGGAGGATGGGAGGGAGAGGGAACTGGGATTGACGTGAAACAAGATGATTTAAAATTATATTAATAATAATAATAAAATAACGAAAGAAAAAAAAAACAAAACGGGTTGGTCTGTTAAACAACAGCTACCAGCACTTTGCTCTGAGAACTCTTTGCTACTGTTCCCTTAACATCCCTCTCTTCCCACCTTCCTGCTCCTCTACTATAAATACCTTCCCTTCAGATCTTCCTTGGGATAAAAGAAAAACCATCTCGTATCTAATATAAGTAGTTGAGTCTTGAGAGGAATTGACTGTGTGGGCCAAATGGGTGGCATAAAAAGCCTAAAAATAGTTCCAGGAATTCCAGAACTCTGAGGTCTAGTGGTACATGGGATCCAAGCATATAGGAAAACAGCAACATCCCAGATAACTGCCCATTGACTTGAGCTATCAGTAGAAATCTCTCCAAATGCCCTCTCAGAAACCAGTTACTGGTCACCCTCAAATGAGAAACACTGGTCCCTTTCACATTCTCCCTTCTAGAAGATTCCATAATGCTACATAAAAATGTCCCGGCCCTCAGGTTGTGATTCTTGGGCCTAATATGTATTAAATCACAGAAAACTTTTAATACTTATGTTTTGTTCCTGGGAGGGGAAAATAGTCAATATATTTTTTTCTATTAATTTTCCTAACACAAACCAGTAATTACAAGAACATTCACCCATGGGCAGAGAACAGCTGCCACCTAATTCTGCCTCTACAGGGCCCTTGTCATAAATAAGCCTTTCACTTTGGAAGGCATTTCCTCCTA